ACAATACAAGTCTAATGCTAAGATTTTGATGGCATAACATTATCTGAAAGTTCCCTTGGCTCCTGTTTTTAAGCCTTTTTGGCTACATCGTTCCCTAAATTATGAATGCTTATTATAAGCAACACACTAATGCTACATTTAAATACAAAGAACAAAGGTCAGTTTCAAAGTGAAGTAGCATACTAACAGTAAGCACTAGACACATAGAAGACTGAATATGAAATAAATTAAAAACTTATGACTTCTAGCTCACAGCTGTTTCTTTTATGAAATGTGCCTACTTTTTCCAACAAGAGACTACTATGTCTACTATACATAGATCTTGCACCTCAAAATTAAGTATTTGTACATCCTTCTGGTGAATCTCTACTCTCAGTAAAGGTCTCCTGTAAAAAGAAGACTTGAAAATGTTTGTGGTAGCTTTCCTGGTCCCCAAAGAAACTTATAGAAGGATCACTGGATGATAATCCAATAATGCCAGTTCAAGACTCCAAATCTCAGGTCACAATGTTATACCTTCAAAACGGAGTATGAAAATAATATTTTTATTGCTTTAATTTTAAATAGCTTGCTTCACATGTCAATCCCAGTTCCCTCTCCCTCCCCTCTTTCCGCAACCCCCCCCCCGCCTCCCACCCTATCCCCACTTCCTTCCACATAGGGGATATCCAGAGTCTGTCATTTCACTCAGGGCAGGGTCCAGGCACTCCCCTAAGAGTCCAGGCTGAGAGAGCATCCCTCTTTGTGTTATGGACACACGAAGTCTGTTTGTATGCCAGGGATAAACACTGATCTATTGCCCAGGGCCCCATAGGTTGCCCAGAAAAATAATAAATTTTAAAAGATTCTTCTTTCTCTTCCTAGATCAATGATTCTATGCACAATCTGTCAAACAGCAGCAGCAACCAGACCCTCTGGAAATGCACATTTCCAGGATCTACACCACACCCACTCTATCATAAAATGCTTTATCCAGGAACCAGCACCTTGTACTTTCACAAACACTCCAGATAACCACATTCCAAGACTTTCAGTGCTTTGAATCATCTGTTTCTTTGTGATGGCAGACAAAAGTCCCTTATAATTTGTCATTTTAAGAATATATTATTTTGATTTCTATAAAATATCTCTATAATATATTTTAATGAAAAATTTGATTGCCTTGATCAATGTTCCACAAGTTCCTGGCACAAGCAAAACTAGTACTAAGCATAAAACACTACATTTTAACAGTTATCTTTAAGTATCATGCTTTATTGCTTCATATTTTTATTATTTCCACTTCAAAAATTTGTCAGTGCTGGACACAGAGGTTCATTCTTATCATCTTAGCACTTGGGAGACTGGGGCAAGATTATCATGAATTCCAGGATGACTTGTCTTATATAAAAACTAGGTATAGTATTACACATCTTTAATCCCAGTACTCAGAAAGTAGAGGCAGGTAGATATCTGTGGGTTTGAGGCCAACCTGGTCTACATAGAAAGTTCCAGAACTACATAAGGAGATGCTATCTCAAACAAACAGAACAAAACAATGTCCTCCCAGGTATAGTGATGTATACCTTTAATCCCAGAATTTGAGAGGCAGAAGCAGGAGGATCTCTATATGAATTCCAGGCCAGTCTAGTCTATACTGAGTGTATAAAGGCAGCCAGAAGTAAATAGCAAGACCCCGTCTCCAAAAAGAAGGAACAGCAGCAAAAGACCAAACTAATACATTCTGTACTGCCTTTCTTTTCCTTCCTATTCAGCAATGAGGCCTTATGTGCAGTACACAAAGTTTTCAGCTCATAATCTATTTAGAAAAAAATCCTATTTCAGAGTATCTTTCTAACCTGTTATGCATTTCAATCCCCCACAGGTTGCTATGCAATGTGCCAGCACATACATCATTGTACTCCTGTTCTTCCCTATTATTGTCTGATACAAAAATGAAAGGGAGATACAAAAAAACACACCTCAAGTGTTAAAAAGAAAATGAATGATTTGCACAGACCTACTAAACTAATTCTCAAATGAAGAAAAAAATAAATTCAAATGGGCATAAGGATATAAAAACATTTTTAAAACTTTTGGAAAAGTATCTATATACTCCCAAATTGCAACAGTGAAAACTGTTTCTTGAAGACAGAAAAAATAAAATTGTTTTTAGAGAGAGAAAATACAAAAACAAGACAAACAAACAGAAACCAGTGAGAATGGGAAAAGATACTCTTCAGATTTAAAATGTTTGAATTACAGAGACAGCCACAGACATTTGCCAGATAGCAGTAAGTTTTTCAAACGGATGATCTGTTGGGTCAATGGCCACAGTGTGCGCAGGAGCCACTGCCATAGACTGAGACTAGGCTAGGCAAACCCAAAGGGAGATAAGAATGGCAACATTTGAAGAAACACCTTCATGAAAACCTGCCAATTTAACAGATTGTTTATATAAATGGGACATGAAAAACAAAGTTTCTAAAAACTATTTTAGGAAAAAATGAAAAACCCCAGGAGAACTATCAATATCAAAGCTGCAGTCATTAACAATTCAAACTCCAGATTCAGGCATGATTTGAAGCATGATCAACACCCCTGTTTGAAATATCTCCAAGCATTAACAAAGCCTACAACTTACCTAACCAATTTTTGGACTTCTGCATTTATAATGCTGTCATTAGTCCACTCTTCCTGGGACCAGTTTTAAAAGTAAATAAAGCCTTTCTAATAGAGCAACCACTACAAAACAATGCTAATTTTCCCAAATAAACCAAGAAAAGTTCCTAGTTTATACCAAAAGAAACAAACCACAGTATTACAACTTCTACAAGTTCATAAATTTACAAATTACCATAGTTGAGAATACTTCAACTCCATGGGAAGGTAGAGAAAATATTTTTATAATCAAAATACAGTAATCCATGTGTGACTCTGAAAGGGAGCTACTTAGTACAGTGAAGTTGCTCACATCTCTATAGGACAGAAGGAAGACAAAAATGACAATATTTAACTTTCAAACTAACAACAACTTTGAAGCCAATATATAACACAGAATGGCTCTCTTCTTGGACCAACAATAGTAAATTTGACTCCTTTTTGATTATAGAGGATTTACAGGAAAAAAAAAACCCTAGAAGACTTCAAAAATGGTTTGGAAGAAAACTTTAAACCTTGCTTGAAAACAAATACTAAATAGAGGTGCAAAGGAACAGGAAAAAAAGCAGGCTTGCTATCAATCTTTTCAGCAAAAGAAATTATACCCTATACCACATATTGTTTGAATACTGGTGTGTATCTTTTGACTTCATGGAATAAACAAAATACCAAAAACATGAAACAAAAACCACCTCTTTCAAAGCTGAAGAAAAAAAGAATCCAAGTACCCATGTTTATGAAGCAACAACACACATGGTAAGATAATTAACATTCTGAGAGAAACTTTCCAAAATGAGAATCAATAAAAATCTAATCAGTCCTTAATTAAAGAAAGAGGAGAGCATACCCAGGATTCAGAGCAATGACAAGTGACACTGCTGTAAATACCTATCATTAATCTATGTTTGCTTAAAAAGAATGCCAGATATGATTCTCAGGTTAACAGTGTTAGATAATTATACAGGGGAAGGAAATTAGAATAAGAAGCATTTTGTTTAAAGGTAGTCTCTAACATTTTAATGTTCTTCCTTTCTTGCCCTGATCCTTATATCCCTCTATCCAGAGCGTTTTCTTTCTCTATGTTAAAGAAAATACAAATGTTGATTCTAAGAATCATACTAGATACCCATGTATTCTGCCTCAGCTCCCACATTAATCCAAATACTAAGGGCCTTTAGAACATTAATAACCAACCTGCTGCCGCTGCTGGCACCTAGATGCCAAGTGCAGCAATGCTGAGGACAACAGATGCATACTTCAAGAGGCACAGTTAAAGAAAAAGATGCTTAAAATTTGCATGAAATCAGTCAAGTAACTATAGAAACCAATTTCTTCAGCTCCATATCACACATCTCACACCTCAATTGTCTTTATTATCGTCTGCTGTCAGATCCTTAACCAGGACTGTGAACATGATTGATGATTTATTCAGGAGGGAAGAGAATCTGCAGGTCAAGTGAAAATCCTCATTTCTCTCTCTCTCTCTCTCTCTCTCTCTCTCTCTCTCTCTCTCTCTCTCTCTCTCTCTCTCTCTCTCTCACACACACACACACACACACACACACACACACACCTTCAACCGTAGGTACTTTTATTTCATTCTGTTCTCAGTAGCTCTGGGGGTAACTCCAGTGAGATCCAATATTAAGGCTCAATTAAAATAAGCTCCAATTAGTGGAGCTTTTTTCTCTGAGGCTAGAGAAGTCAGGAAATGGATATTGGGAAATGTAAAAAGTCAGCTACTGAGAGAAGGCTGCAGACATAAATGAACTTATTTGTTGATTTCTACAGTTGCTATGCAGAGGCCTCTGGGAGTAAAAGCTTAACCAGTCTAAGCTATAAACTAAAACCCCTGCAGCTAAACATGAACTGTGTGAAACAAGGGCTCCATTCCAGAACAGAAAACTGCTGGGCCCAGAAAATTAAAAGCCAGAGGCATTTTCCATTTAAAACTAAATCCCAGTACCGCCTCCCAGCCAAAGAATTATAAGCAGTATCAGATTTACAAAACGAACAATTACCCTGGAAAAATGTAGCCTATTGTACAGTCCCAGATGCTAAATCTCAAAGTTTCTTTCTTTCTTTTAATCCCACACTATATTCCTCCAAGTATATGGTTGCAGTTTACAAAGAGCCATTTCCAGACAGGCCTAAGCCTTGAAAATAAATTTTAAAAGGAGAGCACATAGCTCACTGACCTCATTTGAAGTACTGCCCTTGCCTTCAGCAGTTCCTGTCCTTCCCCAAGGCTTTTGCAAATGGTATGCAACAGTAAAATAAACCCTGACCTAATTGCCAAGAGAGAGGCTGCCAACCTTCCCTGAAACACAAAGACCAGATCAGTAACTTGAAAGTCCTACCTCTTTGGCTTTCTGCTTTAATCTCAGCTGTTCTGGATCTTCTTTATTGGAACGGCTCTGTCAAAGGAAAAGAAAATTTTAATAGAAGTCATCTAAACACTAGCATTGCTGTTAAATATTTAATAAATGATGATTTCTCCTGTGATTGAAAACCCTAGCTCCAGGGGCAATGCCTGGATCCAGTCTAGTTGCACTCCAGCCCTGGCCCCCTCCTCCCCATCTTCTGGGCCGGCTGCTGCAGTTCTAGCCTGGAGGAAACACATACTGAAAATGATGCTAACAATGTCAGTCAGGTCCAGTCAAGGCATGACATTGTTCCTGCTGGAACAGGGCAAAATGAAAACTGGCCTGAACAGAAGAAAAGGAAAAGAAGTGTGGACTCAAATGAATGAAAACAAAGAACACTGGCTTATCTTTAGGTGAAGCCATTTTGGAAAAGCATGTTATTTAAATAGCTATTAAAATCAAAAGCTCAACTAGCCTAGAATCACATCTCTTAAAAAGAGTAATTTCTGAAAGCAAAAGTAGGAAACACATTCTAATATTTTTTATTAGAGGTTTAGGTGCTCTATGACACTTAATAAACTAATACTATTGATACTATCCATGCTAAATGAGCATGAGGAATGTGGTAGGTATTCTCTATTTAGGTAGTGTGTTAGACATCTATCTCTCATGAGAACTGAGGAGAAGTCTGAACAAGAAATAGGCAATCACATAAAGCCATAGGGGAAGAACACTAAAACAGAAGACACAGGAAATGCAAAAGCCTTAAAATGACAGCAAGCCTGAGAACAGACATGATGACCATGTGTCTGAAGCACGCAGAAAATATGAAGGAGAGAAAGGGTTAAGTGAGGCCTTGTGGCCATCTTAAGAAGTAGAAGAGTTCATTGTAGACTTAACAATCAGTCACTGGAAGAAGACTATTACTGCACAGCACAAGAATGAGAGCACACTGGAGTAACCCCTTCGAAGGGGGCTCCACCAGCATACAAACTGTTTACTACATAGATCTACAACAGAAAGCACGGGTGCCCACATGATGAAGAAACTGCTATGAATAGAGGGTAACTGAAAAAAAAAAAAACAATGACCGCAGTCTAGAACAGCAGTAGAGCAATGATGACAAAGACAAATAGATTCAAATTCCATTTTGAAAGTAAAGTCAACCAAATTTGTGGTAGACTAGATGCAAGATACAAACCAGAGAGGAAAAAAATGTTACCTTAGATTCTGGTCTATGCAACTGAGAGGAATTCTAACTTTCTGTAGTGGAAGATCTAATAAAAACAAACAAACAAACAAACAAAAACTACACAACAATGGAGAAGGAATTCAGCTGTCAGTTTTGGATGGCAAACCAAAGGTTGAATGCCCTAAGGTGGACACAAGCTTGGAGCAGACACTTGAGTATGATGAGTGGAATGAGTGAAGGAGTGTCAGAAGGCAAACTCGAAGAGGGAGTCAGCTACTAGAAGCTCTGAAAAAGTTTGGATTAAATACAACCAACAAGAAATCACTAAAAGCTATGTTTTGTTGAGACCCAGTCTGTCCTTTAACCCTGAAGCTCTCATTGTAGACCAGGCTGGCTTCAAACTCAAAAGATACTCTTGCTTCTGCTCCCAAGTGCTGGGATTAAAAGCGTGAACTACACCCTTGAAAGGTCATGCATTTTTATTATGAAAACCATTTTGATGAAATAAATATGGAAATAAAAAGAGATCATTTAGAATACATAAAAATCTTGGCCGGGCAGTGGTGGCACACACCTTTGATCCCAGCACTTGGGAGGCAGAGGCAGGAGGATCTCTGTGAGTCGAAACCAGCCTGGTCTACAATAGCTAGTTCCAGGACAGCCTCCAAAGCCACAGAAAAACCCTGCCTAGAAAACAAAAAACAAACAAAAAATCTGAGGAAAAATATATTGGACTAGAGTGTTGACGATGGAATGAAGAGAGGATAGATATTGTAGACTAGAGTGAGAGTGACCAAGGCATGGGTATGGAGAAAACACAAAGATGACTTTAGGGTTTTTTTCCCATGAACTTATGGTAAATTAGGGTGTCTCTGAGTTAGAAAAAGCCATATTAAAAGAAAGAAAAATCAGAAGTTTATTTGGACATATACAATTTGAGAGTCCTATTAGCCAGAAAAGTGATATCAAACAAACAGTCAAAAGTTTCAGAATGTAGACTGAGCTGGAAGTACAATCTTAGGAGGCATAGGACTGAAACCCAGAGCATCCCAGTATTTAGCACTATGTCTCAAAAAAAGGAAGAAAACCCAAAGAGACTAAGAACCAGTATAATATCTTATATAAACAATAACTAGAATATTATTTAATGGTTTTATAACCTTATTTATTGTATAGTTATTAGAAATAAAAAACTAGCAAACTACCTTGTTATAATAGCTGAGTTCTTGCTTAGAATATTTCAAGCTCAAGAAAGAGTATTTTCCTGTCTCATCTCCCTGCCCTTCTCAGCACAGGGGCCAGTCTGGGGCTAAGACAGCAGGGTAGTGACAATGTACGATGCCCACATCCTTGTGGAGGTTTGGGATATCTTGGTGAGACACAGGCCAGTGGTTGTAATGGTAAGGAGTATGGCCAATAAAATGGCATAAAGGAAATAGACAAGAGTTAATCAGTCAAGCTGGTGATATATGAATCTCACTGATCAAAAATATACACTGACTGACAACATAATAGGCTAAGGATAATAATTAAGCAAATTTTCTGACTCCTGGAGTAAAAAATTCTGCAATTAGTTGAAGGGAAGGAGGCAGGCAGTGAACATGCACATACATGAAACCACTGAACAATTGTACAGGTCAGAGGAACAACTTATGGGAGCCAGGTCTCCTACCACAATGTAGAACTCAGGGATTGAGCTCAGGTGATCAGGCTTGGCAACAAATGCTCTTATTCCCTGAGCCATCTTATAAGCAGGAGAAAGGTTTTTATAAAGTAGATATGTTATGGGAATAAAGAATGAAGCCCAGAGGTATCCATATGAACTCATGATTCTATAATACAAATAGAGATACAGAAAACATTGTAGATACTTGTGTACATGTATGTATATACACATAATACAAATATTTCCTGGAGCCATCCACTAATATATCCTATATATAATGACACTGTTAAGCAATGAACATAGTGCAGTGTGTGCTCTAATACTGGTTTCTGAACATCATCTTCAAGTAAAAAGATGCAGAATTTCCTATTAGATATGGCCGATTCCAAGATGGAGGCAGAAAAAATAAGGTTGGCCCTAGAATATCTTAATAGCAAAAAGTAGGACATGCTCAATGAGTGAAGGAAACAAGTAAGTGCCAATTTAGAAGGTTCTCCCACCTACAGGCATTCTGAGCATCAAAGTAAAGTAATGTAGTATAGACAGCTGAATTATATAGAAACCCACAGGTTCATATTTTCATGAACAGAAAGAAAAAGAAAGCCTTTTCATATAATAGAGTTATGTATGAAGGAAAGTTAATGAGAATAATAACTAGTTCCAGGCAATCCCCACAGAAGTGGCTGATTCAGGAACTTGCTAAGGCTGATACTTGAAAATTAGATGAAGAAAAGATGTTGATACAATTTGTGAACATTAAAATAATCCATTGAAAAATTAAAACCAAAAGAGACAGATGGTCAATTTAAAATGAAAAGAACTGGAAGACAACTAAATGCCTGGATTATCAGGTTACTTTTTGAGATTATTATCTCAGAAAAATGTATTATCACCTCTGTGTATTCCTGCCAGGAGTACAAAACTGAAAATCCTAAGGAAATACCAAATGAATGCAGGTGAAGGCCATAATGTAGAAAGTAAGTTGAAGGTAAGTAAGGTCTCGAAAGTGCTACGGGAAGGAGTATATAAAAAGGACTGAGATTGCCAGAAGAAATGTGAAGAGAGAACTACTAAATGAAATACTTATTTCTGAAAAGAAAAATGGAGCACAAAGAAAAGAAACAAATGAAACAGCTGGTAAATCTTAACAGGGATCTGTGCAATGCACACTAGAGTGTTTAAGGATGATGAGTCATTATGTCTCAGGACTGCTTTTCAAAGATTCTCTGAATCGTCTAGTATAGACAGTTACGTAACTGTAAATCAACTCAAAAAATAAAAACCCCTCTCAACTAAAGTAGAAGGGACATACTGATAAACTAAAGCGTGTATGTATTAAGGTGCACATAAGGGATGAGGAAATGAGTAGAGATGTAACAAATGCAAGAAAAGGAGGGAATCTAAGAAAAGGGGCAAAATATAAATTTTGATACTATTATGTCAGTATAAATTGTTTAAAATAAATCAAAGAAGCAATTAAAGCCAAGTATCATGATTGACCCTTGCAAATCCCAACACTTCAGAAAAGGCAACAGGATAGTGGGTTGAAAGGCTGCCTGGGTTACATTAGTATTAATCTCATCAGAGAAGATTAAAAACAGTAGGTGGTAGACTGGGTGTGATGGTGCATGTCTTTAATGTCAGCGCTCAGGAGGGAAGAGGGATGCTGGTTACTATGAATCCAAGGCAGAGAGAGACAGTGGGGAGAAGGAAGGGAGAGAGCGAGAGAGGGAGGGGAAAGAGGAAGAAAAGGAGGAAAGGGAGAAGGAGGGTGGGAGGGGAGGATATTAGTATGTGGTTAGGAAAAAATAAATCTTTCAGGAACATAAGAAATTAAAAGTAAGATCCTCAAAATAAAAATTAAGACTCTGGTGTTCAGCCTTCACAATTTCTTGTGAGGCTCCAACTATATCTAAGAACTGTGGGGGTACAAAACATAAAAGTGTAGTAGAATTGAACTTTTATGTAGTACCCAGGCATTACTAGTCCTAAAAAACAACTTAAAAGAACACAGGTCTATGGCTAGATAGTCATAGTCACTCCTATGACTCTCCTTCTCTATAACCCATTTCCACCAACTCATATTTGGTTCCATATATTCCAATTTTACCATAATCTTCATGTCTTTTAAAAATTGTTCTTGTTAACTTCAACTTGGTACATACCAAATAGTATCTTAAGAGTCTAAAATTTGTATAAAAGTTTAACCTGGGAATTGGGATGGATAGATGGGAATGACATGGGGTACACCAGAATATAAGGGAGGGGGAGACAAAAGATTATAACTCATTAACTAATTTAACTTTAAAGCTACTACCCTACACCATCTTGGCTGTGAGACACCCTACTAGTAATTTCATTTTAGGATATTCTCAAGAGAAATCTAAAGGCTCAATAAAAGCAAGACCATCAGTCAATGATGAAGCCGATTATGATCACATTGCCAGGCCATGTTCCCAAAAATCACACAATGCTTACCTTGGCTGCTCTTAGTAACATCTCTCTTTCTTCTAGATCCTTCCGCTGTTTCTCCAATTGATCTAGCTTTTCAAGAAATTTGAGCTGTGATCTGGTGTCGGTAGACAAGATGTAATTTTCACTTCCCTAGGGAAAAACAGTTTTATGATTCTGGGCAATATATTTACATTAGGCATTATGATAAACAATACAAAAGAGAGTAACTTCAACTCACAGAGGGAACTACATTTTTCAGGAGATAATTTTTTTACATTGTTAAACAAGCAAGCAAGCAAAATAAAAACCAGAAACTTTAATCATCTTTAAATATGAGATCAGAAAGATTTCCTTAGCAAGCCAACTCAGAGACAGCAAAAGGAATTAAGTCAAACAAATCCTAACATTAGGAAAAAGGACCCAGTAGAATATACCCTTACCTATAATTCAATCTCCCTTGGTCAAATTATTTCCTATCTACTGACAAGTAACTAAATATTAGATGAAAGGAAAAGCAAGAAACAATCCTCTCACTGAAAAGGATAGCTAAGAAAAGGAGCTACCATGGATAGATTGACTTAATCTTATTTAATGCCAATACTATGGACGCAGAGGTAGGCAGATCTCTTGAGTTGAAGCCAGTCTTCTCTATAGAGCGGAGTTTCAGGACAGCCAGAGCTACCATAAATGGTCTCTTGGAGACAGAGAAAGGGACAAGATCTTCTGAGCTAATTGGGAGCATGGGGAGAGGGAAGAGGGAGTTAGGAGAAAGAGAAGGGGAGAAGAGGAGGGGAGAGGAGGACATGAGAGAGCAAGAAGATCGAGTCAGGGGAAGAATAGAGACACCATAATAGAGGAAGCCATTATAGGTTTAAAGAGAAATCTGGCACTAGGGAAATGTCCAGAGATCTACAAGGTTGACCCCAACTAACAAGCTAAGCAATAGTCGAGAGACTACCTTAAATACCCTTCTCCGATCATGAGATTGATGACTATCTTATATGCCATCCTAGAGCCTTCATCCAGTAGCTGATGGAAGCAGAGGCAGACACCCAGAGCTAAACACTGAGCCGAACTCCTGGAATCTAGTTGCAGGGAGGGAGGAGTGATGAGCAAAGGGGTGAAGACCAGCCTGGAGAAACCCACAGAAACAGCTGACCTGAACAAGAGGGAGCTCATGAACCCCAGACTGACGGCTGGGAAACCAGCATAGGACTGTCCCAGATCCCCTGAATGTTGATGTCAGTTTGGAGCTCTGGTTAATCTATGGGGCCTCTAGTAGTGGATCAGTATTTATCCCAAGTACACGAATATATCTTGGGAGCCCACTCCACATAGAGGTTTATTCTCTCAGCCTAGACACACAAGGGAGGGTCTAGGCCCTGCTCCAAATGATATGACAGACTTTGAAGATTCCCCCATGGAAGGCCTCACCCTCCCTGGGGAGCAGAAAGGAGATAGGATAGGGGGTCAATGGGGGGTAGGGAAGGAGGGGAGGGAGAGGGAACTGGGATTGACATATAAAACAAGCTTGTTTCTAATTTAAATAAAAAAGAGAAACAAAACAAAAAAATCATGAAGGCCTGGTTTGTAGATTCCCTTATGAAATCTAAATTCACTGTATATAATTTATTTATTTATCATTTATCTATTTATAAGGAGGTTCTCACTATACAAAACAAGCTGTCCTGGAACTTGAGATCATCCTGTCTTAGCCTCTCAAGTAGTGGGAAAGCATATAATTTACAAATGAGAACTGTAACGAAAAGCTATAATTTCTTATCTTAAAATTTCCATAAAATGACAAAATTAAAAATTTCTCATTTATCTAGGTTATGCTAGAATATAAAAACAGTACTTTCAAATCTAAGTAGTTTCTAGTTTTCTTCACCTATGGCCACCTAACGCAGAAAGGTTTAAAACAATCAATACATACCCTAACATCTACTCATCTCAGCAGTCAACACTTGAGGGAGACTCTTACGGCCAAAAACAACTAAACAATGAGTTCAACAGTAAGTGCTTGGCTTGGAACCCAGCACTATGCATACTACTTCCATCTCCATCCTTACTTTATCCCCATGCTTATGGCTGCTTCAATTAGCTTACACTAAGAGAATTCATATGCCCAAGATTCTTTTTAAATTAAATTTTTATTGTTGGCATTTAACTAGATCAAAAGAATATTACATGGTTTAAGGAAGAAGGATGTATTAGTGCTACTTATTTTACTTAAAGTTTAATACAAGAATTCCCAAATGGTCTTTAAAGTTAAATAATACAAGATAAAAATGTGGAATACATTATAGGCCAAGCATAGAGGTTAAGCACAATAACAGTGGTTTCTTAAATACTTCATCTTTACCATTTCTGTGTTCAGCAACTCTACAGACAGTTTATGAACAGAAATTTAATTTAAAAGGGACAATAAACACTAAATTAAAAAGATTTTAACCATATCACATTCTCATACTGTTTCCTTTACCAATTCAGATACCAACTGCCTGTGGCATAATTTCTCCTTTTTCTTCCATCAACAGCAAATGAGTATCTTTCCCTAATCTACCGAGTCCTTTGTTATGTTCCTCCTGTCTCTGAACCAACTAACTAAAGAGTTCATGTACCTACTAAAAGTATGAAAGCCACTAGATATCCAGATGCAAGTGATATTAGCACCATCAGGTGAATCTCACCTAAAGGAACCATCACAGTACCTTTCTGCTAGAGAGTGAAACTTCCCCATAACCACAGCACAGACTGCAGGTTCAGTAAAAACACAAAGCTGAGCTGGGCAGTGGTGGCACACACCTTTAATCCTAGCACTATGGAGGCAGAGATAGGTGTATTTGTGTTCAAGGCCACCCTGATCTACAGAGTGAGTTTGAGAACAGCTAGGGCTACATTGTGAAACCCTGCCTTGAAAAACCCTGCCCCAGCATTAACCAAAAAAAAAAAAAAAAAAAAAAAAAAGAGAGAGAGAGAGAGAGCACTAGACTACATACTAGATTACTTCTACTTTTTAATTTAAATTTCAGTTTATGACCTATGACTAATTAGAACATTATACCCAATCAAGTAAAAGTAAACAATGTCTAGAATAGAAAAGATGGTGGGATTTTGCTTTTAATAATGGTGGCTCTGTTTTAATAGTTTGTGGAGTGGAATTTCCTTTATCGTACAGATAAAAATAAATCCCAAGAGATAGAAGGACCAGACCAAATCTTTGATACAAATACTATTATTATAATTAAAGTCTATAAAATAATGGTAAGTTTGAAGTAAATTCAAATGTAATTAAGTGGCTATTATTTCTTCTTAAGGAAGGATAATTTTGTCTTTCTATATAATATTCAGACAGCAATACTAGCTATCCTAAAGAATGAATGTTGGGGAAAAGGATGCAGTATAAATCAATAGGAATAGTAAATGTATAATACAGTGGTTCTCAACCTGTAGGTCATGACTCCTTGGGGGGTGTTGAACGACGCTTTTACAGAGGCTGCATATCAGATATCCTATATATCTGATATTTACATTACAATTCGTAACAGCAAAATTACAGTTATGAGGTAGCAATGAAAACAATTTTATGTTGGGGTTCATCACAATATGAGGAACTGTATTAAAGGGCCACAGTATTATGAAAGTAGAGAGCCACCATATTACAGAAAGATAGGAAGGTATTTATCCATAAGCTAAGTGATTGAGGTCTTCCAGATAGGGTGAATACCTGGACTACCAAATCCTAGTAACACATGCAATTGATGCAAATAAAGAGTCTACTTGAAGTTTATGTAATAAAGCTTTGAATGGCACACTGAAATGAAATCTTTTGGGAGTATTTCCTTAGAGTTAGAAGCTGTGGTCCAGAGCAGGTCAAGGCTGTATCTCATGCTGACAGCCAAACTTGATAATGTGTAAGATTCAGACATGGGAGGGTTATAGAGTAAAAAGGTCTGTAGACGGGGGTTGGAGTCCCTGAAAAGATGCCAGAAGAAGCCACTAGTAAAAGTAGAGTCTCAGAGGCAGTGAAGACCATAGGATTGCAGGGTTAGTCATGGAGAAAGACCACTGATACCACGTAGTAAGGTCAGAGTCCCTGAAGAGAACCCAGGAGGCTACTGATGAAGGTTATTACCCATGGAGACCCCAGCCTATAGGAGATGTCACAACAATATGATGACAACAAAAGACAACAGCAGCTGTGGAGTAGAACTGGCCTAAGACTACAAGACAAACTGGGTGTGCTGTGAATGGCAGAGCTGGAAAAATGAAAGTTTTTAGAGCCAAGAAGACCATGAGTACCAGATGTCACACGCGGAGCTATTTATACTTATGAACTTGGGCTTTGCTTTGATTTTAACTGTGCTCTGGTTCTTTCTTGTTAAAGTAAGAAAGTATATAATTTATTTTTTTATTTTATAGGATCCCACAGTTGAGTTTTGCGACATTTAAAGAAAAGTTAGACTTTTGAGTGATGTGCTTTTTTAAAAGCTGAGCAACTTTTAAATTTGGAATATTCTATGATTTGACTTAAGAACCATTCCGTGTGGTAATGACAGACTTTGGAGATCCCCCATGAAGACCTCACCCTCCCTGGAGAGTAGAGTGAGGATTGGGTCCGGGTTTGGGGGTGGTGGAGGGTAGGTGAGGAGGGGAGGGAGAGGCAGTTGGGATTGACATGTGAACAAGCTTTTCTAATTTAAATAAAAACAAATAAAAAAAGAACCATTTTACAAGATGAAACCATATCCAAACACTGCTTGGGTGACCAAGAATCAGAGACTAGATAACTCAATCCAGGGCAAATCCAAATGCTAGTGGTCTTAAAAACAAATAAAAAAAAATACTCCTAATGATATTCTGCTATAGTCATAGATCAATGACTTGCTCCTCCATCAAAGAAACCAAAAATGCCTGGTTCTTTGTAATGACTAATGGGGAAGCAACTAACTAGAATAACAAAGAAAAAAGGGAAGACACAAGTAAGAATCAGAAAGAAAAGTACAATTAGTACCACCAACTGAACTGATGTAAATAATAGATAACCTACAAAAATGGACAAATTCCAATACTCACATAAAATGGAATATTGACACTGTTTTCACAGCTTTTTATGATGTTGATTCTATATTTTTAAGTCAGTCTGAGTCTGACAAATTTTCACAAAAATTTTGCAAGTAAGGATGAGGCAGAATGTAAGATGGTTTCTCCATCAAGACTAGGGAGATAGCAGCAGATATTCTGGATTTCCTTTAATTTATATGGCTAACTATGAAGCTTTGGCAATTTCAACATGTTGAAATCTACCTCTTGACATATTTTTAATTTAAAAGGGTTATTCCTTTTCATCCCATTATCTTTTCATAACATCCATAATCATTCAGTTATTTGCCCACCTATGAAACTGCAATTCAGAACTGATCTTACCCTAAAGGCCAAGAAGCAATAAATACTAAAAATTAAAATACACTAAGTGCCTTTGTCTCAGTAACAGCAAGTCATTTTGTTACACCACTAGGAATTAGACAGGCTAGTCTTGCACTTAGTCTTTCATAGTAGCAGCCAAGAACAGTAATAAGTGACACTAGTATCAACACTTACTGTCATCATGTAAATAAGAGCCATGTAAGCAGAGTCAAGACCACCAAAGAGAACACACAAAACCATATTCTACCCTAACACAACCTCCTTCCAAATCAAGACTTGGGGAGGAGCCTCAGTCAAAACAGATGCAACAAGAAAAACCTCCTTTGGACACTATGAATCCTATTTTAATCTGATTTACCATTTAAGCATTCCCAAGTAAAGAAATTAAAGAAACTGTTTTCCTAACATGAAATATAAGTCTCAATCATTCTTCTAAAAATACATCCAGGTATGAACCCTTATCCATGAAACTACATTTAACATTGCTCAGGAGATGACAGTCTGTACTTCCTTATTATTTCCTTTACCTTGTAAACAGTCATTCGATGCTGAGCAATTGTAGTCAGTTTCTCTAGAAGGCCTCGTAATCTCTCCTGTGTTGCATGGGAGATCAAGTTCACAGCATCAGAGTTAAGTTCTGTAATGTCATGCTTTTTACCTGTATAGGCAGAGAAAATCCATTACATGTTTTAGTAGTGGCTTATAATTGAAATAATTAGCACAGCAGGTATTCAGTTCCCCCTGGAAGTCATACCCATTATGAATAAAGGTTTGGAGATTATGGTTTTCCTGGTAAAGTCACAACTTCAAAGATCTTAGACATTACATTAATAAAACCTAGCCCGGAGCCTCAGAAAATATAGACATTGTTTCCCTTAGCCTCTAGAATCATTCTCCTTGCAAGGTCATTTATAGGACAAAGTTAATAAGAACACAAATCAAGTTTAGTGTTCAGGGAGGAAAATGGTAACTGCAGAAATTAGTGTTATATTCTGTTAATTTTAGTAATTAAAAAAAATGGAAAGTCACATTTTACCTTGTTTAACACTGTTAACAATTCATGACATTTATTTCAGTGAACTGAAATTATAAATCTTTTCATTCCTTGTCTATAAAACATACCTATATTCTTTTTGTCTGTTACCAATTATATTTTCCACTACTCATATTTTTATAAATTAACCTATTAAATTACAAGTTGAAATATGCTCAAAACCTCATCATTTCACCATCAATTTCAATAACTTGCTTCTTTTATAAACAAATTGTTGTATCCAGGTTGTAATGAGGAAGAAAGTTTTAGGAAAAGAATTTGAACGACAAACAAGAACAGTAGCTGATTTACAAGCAATCCTATCAGTATTCACACTGTGTTTCTTAAGGACAATAGAACTGCCTACATCAACAGATAAGCAAACCTAAAGATACAGGCCGTTAAGAAAATTAAGGTAAAAGCATTTTTAAAGGCTGCTGTGGGTTTTGGTATGTGTGTGTTCATGTGGTGTGGAGTGCTAAGAATCCACTCCTCGTACTTTCGAGGCAAGTATTTTATCTACTGAGCCATTTCCGCAGGCGCGTGCACACGTGCACGCACGCGCACACACACACACTCACTCTTATATATCTTCACAGTAATTTTAAAATATTGTTTGATTTTCATATGCTAATTCATATAATACATACTCATTACCATCAAAGGCTACAGAAAAAACATACTTTAATTACAACTTAAATATACTTTGACATTACCACAAAATAAATTTTAATTTAAAAGGGAGAATATTTAAAATTATACAACTTCTTTTAAACTAAGCTTTCAAAATGTAATTCATTACTTTGTGGCAAAATTCACCTTATTTTCATTTTCAGACTGAAACAAAGGGAAAAGAAAAACCCACTACACAAAGTCACAACTACTTTTAAACACTCAGCATAAACATTTAGTTGGACCTTCTATGCAAGAGTAAATTTTCTAAACAATCAAATGGTTAAAATTATAACTGAACATGGGTTAGAGAGATGGTTTAAGAACTAAAATCTTGCTCACTGCTCTTCCAGGACCTGAATTTAATTCCTCGTTCACCTGACGGTGACTCACAACCTGCAACTCCAGCCACCTCCATGTGCATCAGCCAGCACTCACATGCAGATAGATACATGCACACACATAAACTTAAAAAATAAATATAAATCACAACTAAGCATAGGGTAGGCAGGGGAAGTCAACTTATTTCAAGATTAAATTAAAGAAAATCAGCATTTAAAATTATTTCTTGGGGAAAGAGAATTTGAAAATAGCATGTACTTATGAAGCAGAAGTTATCTTTTTAAAAGTTGATACTCTTATAGAAGGCTCTGGAATTGATTTTCAGCAAAACAGATAAAAAATAGTAATTGGTATTGTTAAAATCTGTAATACATTTGAAGTATTAGAAATGAACAAGTGTTAATAATTCCTGAGTATATGCAACAGCAAATGTCCAAACATATCTTCATTAAGCAACAAATTTTAAAGCATAAGTTAAAAATCATAGATTAATTCCACATTTAATACTTTAAAACAAATCCAACATTAATTAAGGAGAGCTAGTTAGTGCTTGCCTACTTACTATTGACTTTATCGAATGCCTGCAATTTAATTTAGAGGAAAGATGAAGAATATTGGCATTTAATCTAACCTGCACACAGGAAAAATATTATGTCTAGAAAATTCTTTTAGAAAATGTATAATTTCTAGTTTTAGGAATGCCCTCAGTTGGTAACTATTCTGTATGCAGGAATTGTATTCTAAGTAGAAAACACCTCTAGAAATAATGAAACATTCATTATTGGCTGTTTCCTTTATTATTAGAAAATTTTTACAGTTTATGTTTTGAATTACATTGTTTGTGCTTCATCATTAATAACTGAAAACAGAAAGAGCTTCTCAAATTCTGCTAAACCAGGTTTGCCAAACTATAGCCAATAGGTCAAAATTCATCTCTTTCTAAGCACTGATTTTTATAAGAATCCAAATAATGGATTAGAAGTTTGTTTCTCCCCCAAAACGCATGCAGAAACTCGGTCCGTGACTTGGTTATGACAACTGGAGTGTAGCCCTTTGGGAATAATTATTGTAATGAATAAGGTCAGAATAGATTACATGCGGGTACAACATAAAGAGCTGTGAAAGACCACCAAGGAGGCCCTGGCCAGAAATCCTGATGAGCATCCAGATCTGACATCCCTACTCCAGAACTGTGACAAAAAGTATGTGTCACTGAAGCCTTCAAGGCTATGGTATTTTGTTATAGAAGCCAGAGCCCAATAAGACACAATCCTGCTCTTTTAACCATATGTGGTTCAGGTTTGCTTTCCACTTGGAAGAGCAGAGCCCATGTGGAAAAAGTTGCTGATTACTATCTTAAGCTGCCATCAAACCTTAAGAAAATGATCATACAGGGATCAAAAATGGCTCAGTGGTTAGGAACACACACTGCACTTGCAGAGGATGCAGATGGGGTTCCTAACACCCATACTGTAAAGCTCGCAATCACCATGACTCTAGTTCCGGGGGGGATGGGGGGACGGGGGACTCTACACCTCTGATCACTGTAGCCATTCCCACACTACCACATATACCCAGAATTAAAATATTATTTAATTTAAATATATATCATTTAATAAAGATTTAAATCAAACTGGATAAAAAATGTGGAAGGGAAAAAGGATTCAGCCAGTGCTCTGGATAATATGACATTATAGGCAAACTGAAGACAGCATTTTCTCAATAGAGATTTCTCTTCCCAGATAATCTAGCTTCTGTCTAGCTGACAAAAACCTAGCCAGGAAAAACTATTACTAATTATAATTGCTCACAAAAGGATAACATGGCCTTAATTTAAATTACAAAATAAAAATGTTCAACATATCATAGATAAAATACTCATTTATTAATTGTGAAATAGGACAAATATGATATGATATAATACATACAAAATATCAAATCAATCTCATTGCATTTAATATGGGGTCTTATAGTCTTTTACATGATATTGAAATCAGGCTCCAAATAATAAGAGTATATTCTCTCCCATTTTTTTAAATTCACCGGAGCCACCTAAAAACTACCCAGTAACTAGAGAAAAATCTTAATATTCTAGCTCAACTTTCTTCTACAATAAGAGTGAAATTAAGGTTGATACAAGGAAAGGGAGATTGACTCTTATTCGGTATTCCTATAATTTACAAATACAGCATTTAATGTAAACTTTCATTTGTATATACACATTATCAATGACCAACAAGGAACAAGATTTTTAAAAAACCAGCACACATTAAGTCTTTGTGCAAAATATGTATCTCTATTATTCAATCATAAAAAATGGAAAAAGCATTAACCTCTATTATCAATCCCAGAAACAAAAAGTTGAAGTAATGATTTATAAAATAAAATGTTTCATTCTGTAATACTCAGGAAATCTCAGAATATTTCTAGAGCCTTATCTAATCCTTAGAGTTTGGCCACGTCTTCAGAAAACATTTCTCTTCAACAAACATTTCTATCAGGTCAATAATCATGATTCTATACTTACCAATGTCTAAAATTCTCTTTTGTAGAGCTCCAATGAAAAGAAATGGTTCTTCTTTACATGACTGAATGAGTGTGCCAACAAATTCAGAATGTGTTGCTAAGATGCGGGCGTTTTCTTCATCAAGGTTGACCTCTGCCATGCAAGTCACATCATTGATGTCATCTTCACTTCTACAGGGACAAAAAGTTAGTTTTTTTTTGAGAGAGAGAGAGAGAGAGAGAGAGAGAGAGAGAGAGAGAGAGAGAGAGAGAGAGAGAGAGAGAGAGAGAGAGAGAGTGTACATGGTTTAAGGGTGCAAAGAAACATACATCTTAGCCAAGTATGGCAGTGATCACTATAATCCCACTATTTGGAAAGGAGGCAGGAGAAACAGGAGTTAAAGGGCTTCACAGTAAGTTCAAGGTCAGCCTTCATAGAAAAAACAAAAACAGATCTTTCTCATAAATAATATTTTATTGAATCTATTCAATGAAATGAAATGAAGAATGATATCTTTCTCCTTAAGCTTTTAAAATTAAACTGGCATCACTAAGCAGAAGAGAAAGATTCCTGGAAGAGAAATCAGAACCTGCTGTGTGTTCCAGAGCTTATCTTTTCCTCTCTGGTGAGACACACCAAGAGGGACTGGACTTACTCCAGTCATCCACAAATCCTCTACTATGAAATAGAAGGAAATGAAAACGGACTCTGATTTCATCCAGGATTGTTAAAAACCCCTCAAGATTTCCCCTGTGCACTCCACTATTCCACTTAATAGCAGCAGAAGCAATCAATCATAAAAAATCATGTCAGTTATTCTGAAATCAAAATTTTAAATTAATTTTGTTTTTATGATTCATATTTTTGCATACTTCCACTGTACCAAATGAATATACTAAAACACACTCAAGCAACTGGCTACAAAGGGCCTATGTTTAAAATATAAATAAAACTAAACATATTCACATACGTACACACAAAAACAAACATGAAATAGGTTTGGGTTTCTTGTTTTACACCCGTAAAATTAATCTCATAGAATTGCTATTTATCTATAGTACCAACAAGAGGATATGTATCTATGAGAAGAAATATAATGAATTCCCTCTGAGACTCCTTTTCACCATATATAATAACAGTCTAGTTACTGATCATGATTCACATAATAATTATACAAAGTGATTATTATTGTAAAACGTATTTCATAAAAAGATGGGCAAATGGCACAACACAGGAGTCAGTGTCAAATAGATTTAAATTATATATCACCCCAATGATGACACATTTGTAAGAGAATAAATTATAATTATCAAACACTCAAGAAATGAAGGTTCTTGGTGTATACTTTTGAAACGCAGAACATAAAACATGAGGAAGAAAAAAATGCTCAAATACAGAAAAGTGAGCGAGAGAAAGGTGCCAGACACGTAGCTTAAAGTTAGAGAAAGAACAACAGCACTACCATCATGCCCCCACTAACAGCTCAACATCTAAAGGTGTGTCTGTACTAAGAGAAAGAAAGAACAATTAATATCTGAAACTACTAATGACACATTCATAATAAGAAAAACAGATTCCATCTACTAAATGTTGCAAAGTTCTCAATGGCTCTAAAAGTCAACTTCCAACTGACATAAATCAAGTGGAATGTCCAGATTTAAATATTTAAACACAAAACATAAGAATGGCAAAAATAATTACCTAAACAAGGATCAGATTCTAAGTTTAAAATATTCTTTTAAAAAGGCCTAAGTAAAATACTTCAAAACAGCCTAGCATCCCTGGGTACTAAATTAAGAGTAGGAGTAATGGGTTTCACTGTTCTACTGTATGGTAAAGTGACTACAGAAAACATAATGACTACATGCTGCAAAACAAAACAAAACCACATGGATCTTGAATATTTTCACCAAAAAGAAATGCCAATCGATTAATATTGAATACATTAGTCTGATTTGAACATTATACAATATATGTATATATTGAAACTAACAGTTTCCATAAAGGTGTAACATAGATCAAGTTACAATTTTCTGAAGAACCACCATATTGATTTTCAATGAAGGAGTGTTCCCCTTGTTCCACATCCTAGCTAGCATGGGCCTACACTTACAGATGTAATATATAATTAATCTACCTCAAGAACCAGCTGTATATAACACTCTTAGGCAGAAACCCAAAGGACACCCCATCCTATCACAAGGACATGTAGCAGAATGTTATCTTAAGGTGTGTGACTTTTGTTTATACTACATTTATTTAACTCGGTGAAGCTGTGATTCTTTGCTGTCTAAAACATCTATGTCTAATAAAGAGCTGAATGGTGGCCTATAGTGAGGCAGGAGCAAGGATAGGTGGGGCTGGCAGACAGAGGATATAGAAGGAGAAATGAAAAAGAGAAGAGAACGAGAGAACAAGGAGAGAAGGATGTCAGTGGCCAGCCACCCAGCCAGTCATAGGGTAAGAAGGAAAGATTTACAGAAGAGAAAGATAAAAGCCAGAGGGGAAAGGAAATCAGGATAATTTAAAATATGAAAAGCTAGCTAGACAAGACAAGCTAAGGATGAGCATTCATAAATAAGAATAAGCTTCCGTGCATGATTTATTTGGGAGCTGGGTGGTGGGCCCCTCAAAAAGACAAAAGAGTAAAGCAACACACTACAAGGATACTTGCTTAACTACGTTCATAGAAGCTTTATTCATAATAACCAGAAACTGAAATAATCCAGGTGTCCCTCGACAGAAGAATGGATAAAGAAAATATACGTTTACACAATGTAGTTTTTTTTTTTACTCAGCAGTTAAAAACAAAACAAAACAAACGAAAACCATGACATGACATCCCGAAACGTGCAGGCAACGATAGAGCTAGAAAAAAATCATCCCAAGTGAGGTAACCCAGATCCAGAAAAAGAAAAACATATGTACTCACTCATATGTGGACATTAATAAGCTGTAAAGGACAACCATGCTGCAATCCATAGACCCAGAGAGGCTAAATAACAAGGAAAGCTCAAGGGGAGTGACTGGATCTCCCTCGAAGTGGACGGGTGAACTGGGGGCAGCTGGGATAAGCACTGAGATCATAACCCACACAGGTAACATTATATAGACTGATCAGGTTGTATTTATACATTTAGGCATGTGTGCATATGTGTATAATAACAAAGAAAAGGTGTCCATTATTTTGAGAGGGTATAAGGTTGGGGGGTATACGTGGGAAGGTCTGGAAAAAGGAAAGGAGGTAATGATGTATTATAATTTTTAAAGATTAAAAATTATAAACAAATTAAAAAGTTTATGCACCTGGAGAGATGGCTCTATGGTTAAGAGAACTTGCTGTTCTTGAAAAGGACCTAGGTGTGGTTACCAGCACTCACGTGGCAGCTTACAACTGCCTCTCATCAAGTTCCAGGGATTTGGACACCTCAGTGAATGCTGTATGTATGTGTTACACTGACTTAGATGCAGGCAAAATACTCATATAAAAAAATAAAAATAAATGAATCTTTAAAAATAAATAAAAGCTATTACGTAGAAACAATTAGGACTGAATGCTTATAAGTGAGATGTTTGCAGACCCATGTAAATAGTATCTTGCTTTTCTATTAGAGTTCCTGCATAGCTCCTACTGGGAACTCAAACGGGCTCTAGAAATCAGTTCCAGGCCTACATATTACAAGTTCAAAATACAGCACTAGAATTTAGTTAGAAGAGCAGCTTTTTGCCCAGCTTGTGCCAACCTAACCACAATTCCTTCTGGTATAGCTAAGAGTGGGCATTGCCACAGGAGCAAGGGAGGCCTTCCACTGAAAAGAGAAAAGGTGCACCAGTAAAAAGTACTCAGGCCTTCAGAAGTTCCTCAAGGAAAGGGGCAGACAGGAGGCAGGCAAAGGCAACACTGGCAGAAGCACAGTCAAAAAAAGCAAGAAAGACAAGGACAAGCCCAAGGCTATCATGTACAAGAATGTTAGTGATCCTGATTTGGTTTTATTTCGTTTTAAAGGTAAAAAGTGGAAGCCACTGAGCAAAGTCTGAGTGTAATACAGGGTCTTCTAGTGAAGGTATTATGTTATATGGTCTATTATTTTAAAAGATACCAAGAAAAGAAAATTTAGTACTTTATTAGAAAAACCTTCAAGTGTCTGTGGAGTAGCACATCACACAAATTAGGTACCACTCACTTGTCATGTATTCTGTCTTCTGAAACTCCTCTAATTGGTTTGTTTTTGATAAAGTTAAATACTTCTCAATGTCTACTTCCTTAAATTTTCCTACTATTAAGGTTAGCTTAGTTTCCTGCAAACAGTTCAGAATACTTTGACTATTTAACAGGCGAAGTACACTATAGCAAAAAAATGTTAAAAATGAGAGGAAAAGGAAACAGAAAAAAAGACTACAGAAAGACACAGGAATAGGCTCTGGGTTTGCCCTGCAGACAGTGGGAAAAGAGCATGAATGGGTCTTGCTTTCCCTGTTATACAACCTTTTGAGTTTTATGCAAAGTGGTGTGTAAAATGCTTTATACATTAGTCAAATAATCTTTCTAACTGCCAACAAAATAAGCTAGGTATCATGGTACATACCTAGTTTCAGCCACTCAGCATCTTGCCTGGGAAGGTGGACTTCCAAGTTCTTTCCCCCAATAGTCACTCTCCTCAACTATAACAGGTTTATAAACACATAAACTTGTTCATTTCTCTATGTATATTTATATTTAAATTAATTTGAAATTAACATACAGAAGTATTCCTCAAAATTTAATGTTTTCTTTAATTTATTATATGTGTATGAGTATTTTTGCCTGCATATATATTTGTATGTATACCACATGTGTGTCTAGTGCCTGTGGAGGTCACAAGAGAGAGGGGGGGTTCTTCTGGAATTGGAGCTGTAGCCCTTATCAAATACTGGGAACTGAACTCAAGTCCTCTGCAGGAACAAGTACTCTTACAGAGCATTCTCTCTAGCCAACTACTATTTTTAGGATCAGCTAGAAAATATATTTAAAATGAAGGTCACATAATCAAAAACATAATATACAGCACTCAGGGTTTCTATTTGATTTAATAAAAACCAGAAATCTAAGGGGGTTTTAGTTAAAAGATGTTGAGATTTTTAAAGACTAATGTCTAAAATTTGTGCGTGTGTGTGTGTGTGTGTGTGTGAGAGAGAGAGAGAGAGAGAGAGA